TTTCGGCTACAGAAGCCTAAAACGAGACAAATATAGTCTATTTTCACAAAACTGAACGATTATAACGCCTCTATAGGCGTGAACGCGATAATATATCACGATTACGTTTATCCTCACCCCTCTGGAAAAGATGTCTTAACTAAACCTTATTTTCTACCACAAGTTCACTCATCTTCTCTTGCACTCCGCCAGACCAACAACTAAATATACGGCTGCCATCAGTTACAATCTCAGAAATCATGACAACCTAGTTGCTATAGAGAATTGTAAGACTTCCTTGAGGTACAACTTCTTAAATAAGTCTTCAGTCATTTGGAATAGACTACCAGCTAATATGCGTGATGCAAACTCACTTTCAGTGTTCACCAGTCACCAGACTGCTCAAAGATGACGGCGCTCTCCTCCGTCTATCTCCTACACATTCCTTTTCACCCCACATAGATATGCTTGGTTCATCGAATGTGTGGGTAACAATAAACTTCGTCAATAGATGCTAATATTATCGGAGGAACATGGTAAATATTTCTAGACAGGGATAAATATTGGCTCATACAAGTGATATAGAAATTAGCATAAGTGAACTAGTTAGTCTGTGTATCAACAGGAACCAGGGCTTATGTGCGAAGTATTTATATATAAGCTTGCAGATCGCTTCTTATGAACTTTTTCTTCCCCCTGTTCTGCTGTCCCTTGTTTGCTTTTTTCATTATTTCAGCCTGTACTTGATTTTCAGCATGGTGAAAGGGAATGTAGATATTCGTCGACTTGTGGTAACAGTCTAAATAGATCTGAAAAAATCACTTGCCCCAAATACTACGACTACCTGGCGAAATATCCATTACTGTCGAATAAATTATAATCATATTTCAGTAGTTGACATACGATGAAAAGTTTTGCTTATGAAGCTTTTGTTGTTTGGTAATATTTCAGGCAAAGTTACTGGCCGTGATCACACCAACTGTTGGAATGGTTTTGCATAAACTGTTGAAATATAATTATAATTTATTTCTTCTATTCCACAATGCTCAAACTTTTTACTGACATTAACCCATTACTCTCTTCTGCGATGCATCCTGGATGACACTTGTGGAATATTACCGTTATTACAATAATTAAATTCCAGTCACTATCTATACTGGTAATTTAGTAGGTAGTGAAAATGTCCTGGCGGTTGTATTATTTTGATTATTTTGATTACAGCTTGATGCCACACCGTATTTTCAGTACAAGTATGGAATTTTCAGCATGGATATCCGTAGCCCAAATTTTGCAGGCCGACCGTAGATATCGGGTGTGCGTCGGCAGGGGATCGAACCCCGGACCATGTGCATGGTTGGCGAGAGCCTTAACCACTGTGGCAGCGACGCACAGTTAATAGTCTCACTGAATCGTGTGATGACAATTTCCAGCAGATGCATACCCCTTTTTTCATTTCATATTGATTGCTTCTCCCTTGTTCTTATTTCCAGCCACTTGGTGACTGAAAATTACCTATTGTTGTATAAATGCTTCTCTGTACGTCTAACTGGGCACTTACTGAAGTGGAGAGTTTCGGGCAGTTAATATTGCTGAAATATTGTTATCGGTAAACTAAAGTTTCACAGAACGATTTTGTCACTTTATGAATACACTACCTAACCCATAGTAAAAAGCAAGCGGCAGACACACAGGCACTGAAAACAGAACACGAGACATGCAGGGGAACGTTTATTCCACGAAATCAACTTTAAAAAGTACGGGAGTCCAGTCTCATAGTCTAACAGTTTTACTGGTCTTCGTTAAAGTTTAGGTTCTGAGATTCTTGTATCTCCTGGTCCAGATAACTGACTCTCGACTGTCTTACTGCAAGTAAAGAAAATAAAACATTGATTAGTATTTATGGGCTGGACTTATCCGGCATGTTGGTTGAAATTTCGCTCGGCAAATTTGTTTTGTCAATAGTTTTTAATAAAATTTTGTTGTATGTTTTCTAGATTGATAGGAATTCTCATTTCCTGGCTAGTTGTGTTGGTGTCTGCGTCATTTAATCTGACTGCGACACACTTAGCATATTGGTTGTATTGATTAGTGTTTCATGCTGAATGCGTCAAAACATCTCTACAATGAAGAAGATGGGGTAGTTGGGGGGTAATGTTATCTACACAAATAGTTTATTTCTTGTAGAAGCTGCAGCTTTCGACATAGTGTCATTCAATGAAGACTACGTCAAAATGTGGCTATTTTCTTGTGAAGAACAGTACTATTTTACAAAATAATGCTATCAGTACATGGGAATCACCTGTAAATGCCAACAGAACATAAAACCAATGTGTAAACGAACGGCTATGGAACTGCAATCCAACATAACCGACTAACATGGACGAAAATGACCTTTGAGCGTCTCACTCCATCAATGACCTTGAGCATGCGGGATAATTTCAGCCGTATTTATGATATACGTTTTGTTTTTATTACACCATTACCAATAACGCAATCCTCAAACAACGCGTATTTTGGTTAAATTTCTTCAATGGTAATGCTTAATATTATACTGTGCACATGCCTTTACCTATGCAAAGTGACTCTGTAGATGTTATTCCATTACCTTGTCTTATACATACCTTGCGAAGTTGAATAATTGTAAATATGCTTACTCCATGTACATATTATTTACCATATTGATGATGCTTGTAAACTGGCGTCCCTGAAGTACAAAAACCGAGAATATATTACCATTCCCTCGGACGTCAGAGAAATTCTAAAATACTAGTGGGCTTCGGCCCTTTCTCCCCAAACTGTCAGTTTGTATATCTGTGCTGATGGGGGCACACCGAAAACAACTGAATCTTCAGAGGGATCAGAGGGCGTTGACTACTCTGTACTGGACTGGTGTTTTCTTGTGAAATCTGTACAATTCTTCACCTGAATACATCCTAGAGCGGATTTAGGCCTTACGCTCACCCTTCATTGGTTACTTGAGGAGGCCTGACAACTAGAATGGAATAGTCTGGACCGGGAAATTGGCCGGTCGAGTAAATAAAGATCTTCGTAGGTAACATTTTTGCGTTTATTCCAGGATCCAATATCCAATATCGTTTTTACGAGCTAGTATAAACCAATTGGATTTCTTTGTGCTCGCCTCTTGATTGTGAGGTAGAGGTTCCTGATCTTTGGTTTATTCCAGGATAGATGTCTTTCGAGTACCATTATTATCCATTCTCTGCCTCCCTGGTACGAATTGGAGGATCAGTGGTGAATTATCAGTGCACCCCTTTCCATAGTCGATTCCATATGGCTTAACGACTGTACACAAATTTCGTTTTCTCTTCACGTGATCACCTTTATGTCATACTTGGACTCGCAAACCACCGCCCCTCGTCTGGCTTCCACTTATCGCGCTGGGTTGCGGTGCCACTCAATGGTTTTCGCAGCGTATGCTCAGTCCATCTCCATTTCCTTTTGCGTTTTTGTTGTCCAATAGGTCTTTCGTTGACTCGCTGCCTGCCAGAGTCCCTTATTGCTGATAGTTTCTGGCTGCCCATTTGACCTCCTATGTTGAGCCAGTGAAGGAGACATGAACTGATGAAAATGAAAAGGTGGTGCTCTTGATTAACTACACTTTATTACCAACCTTGATAAACGTAAAATCCCTAACTGCCCAGTAAAGAGCATTCTACGTGACTTGCGAATACTGATGACAAAACGCAAAACCAAAGGATTCAGTTACCTAGGAGTGTGCTCTGGTTAACATCATACTTGAAAAGAATGAAAAGTTAACGCTATTTAAGGTGGAGGTTTTAGAAGTGATCTAGCCAGAATGGTGGAACTACGGTTTCAGAGTCTTTGCGTCTTAACGGCACAAGGAAGGAAATGAAAATGGAGCTCTAGTCTATCTTGACATGGAGCAGTTAAAATAAACCCTAAAACACTTGTAGAGTCCGTTAGCAGACAAGTCTTTTGTTTAGTTAATATCACCCCGGTTCAGCTTAGTATATTAATCTTCGGTGTGAGCTTATTTTGGTGCTGTGGAGGGTGAAGAATCATGCAGTGGCGCGCTAGCGATGTCTCTTGATCAAATGAACGCATTGACTTGTGGTGAATGTTGTAGGTCTCCATACTGATTTCAGAGTAATGACCGCTTATCTTTCATTCCTTATCCTGGTTACTCATCAGCATCGATATAGAAAATACTGGTGAAAACATATTTCACTATTTCAACCCAGTAAGGTTTGAAGCAGTATTCTTCTTAGGATACCCAGTGGATTTCTGTAAACTGTTACCTACCAGTTCTTTTTTTACAAATGATTGTCTATAGATTGCTCTAATTTGTTTGTGAACATTCAAAGTGAATCCTTTAGATTATGGATGATTATGAGAAATCCACGGAAGGGTGCAATATGACATTCCTGAGGGTAATCCCGACACAAGTGCTAGTATAGTGGTTGCAACGAAGTTAGGGCCAACTCTACTTCCACTAAGCTTTGCCGCCTATGGAATCCACTGTCTACCAGACCATCACGCAAAAGTAATAGGTTTACATGCATCTGTAGGAGCAGTAGGCTGGTTCTAGAGGGCTATGAATACTCCTTTTTAACTTGAATTGGTATTCATTTCACAATTTTACCATAGTTTTTATGGTCATGTTCTATTCTTTTCTGTTTCTGTTACGTGTGCTTCGATTCCCTATTGTATTAAGTGTTTTATGTTGTCCGGGAATCAGCCAGGTACTTGGAACAGCTATGAAACAATAAGTATCTTTCCGTTGGTTTAGCGCTTCCAGAACATTATTAATCTAATATTTCACCTTCTAAGTATCTATATACCACTGTACTCCATTAACCTTGTATATTTCATTTAATTGCTAAATGTACCTGGATTTTATGCGAAGGTTGAAACATCTCGATTTGCCCTGCTTTTAATTCCGCTTCAGGATCCTCGCAGGATTTCAGGGTGATATGAGAGAGAGTGAGAGGTTTACTGACTAAACAGAAATGTGACAACATTTAGTATAGCGCCAAAGGCTGAGAGCGCGTTGTTTGTAGGGAGCGCTACGAGATGGTTGTGTCAGCATTATATATTTTAGACAACAAAGGGAAGGTTCTTATTCATAGAAATTATCGTGGTGATGTTGAAACTGGTGCCATTGAAAAGTTTATGCCCATTGCAATGGAAAAAGAGGAGGAGGGTAGTCTCATTCCAGTCCTACAGTTGGGTGAAATAACATTCACCTACGTTAAATATAACTACCTATATTTGGTATGCTTAACGCGTAAAAATGCCAACATTGCAATGGTCCTGGCGTTTCTGTACAAACTTGTCAATGTAAGTCTCAAGGTTTTCCCAACGATACCATAGATATTTCTTGAATATTTCGGAGAGTTTGAAGAGGAAAGTATTCGTGATAACTTTGTTATTACCTACGAATTACTGGATGAAATCATGGATTTTGGATATCCGCAGACAACTGACACAAAAATCCTTCAAGAATACATTACTCAAGAAAGCCACAAACTGGAAGTCGCTCCACGTCCACCAGTCGCTGTAACTAATGCCGTATCTTGGCGTTCCGAAAATGTTAAATATAGAAAAAATGAAGTGTTCTTAGACGTTGTAGAATCCGTAAACTTGTTGGTAGGTGTTAATTAAATTCGTTTTTGAATTTTTAGGTGAGCTCTAGTGGTAACGTTTTACGAAGTGAAATAGTTGGGAGCATAAAACTTCGCGTTTACCTCTCTGGAATGCCTGAACTCCGCCTAGGAGTAAATGATAAAGTTAGATTTGAAAACATTGGGCGTAAGTGGTTGAAATTATAACTAATTAATTTTCCTGGTGAAGGCGATAAGGGTAAAGCTGTCGAACTGGAAGATGTAAAATTCCACCAATGTGTCAGATTGTCAAGATTCGAAAATGATAGGACAATTTCATTCATTCCTCCTGATGGTGAATTCGAGCTGATGTCATATCGACTAAATACTCATGTAAGTGAATTGCTTATTTTGTCAGTATGTTCTTGTTCGTACTCTGTGCATACATTATTTGGTAATACGCTTTCATACCTCATTTTTCTCAGAGGCGAATTCTTTATGTACTAGTGTTTAATTTCGTGTCGCACATCCAGTAACGCTTCACACTATTCCTAATTGTCATCTTTCTTACTGAAAAAGGAGGCTAATGCTCCATTTTCTAAGATTTGATGCTAAACTACGAAAAATTAATTTCAGAAGGAGCAGATCGACTGAGGCGTTTGAACAAGCCGTGATAAGGATTTTCACTACAAATCTGCTTTTTGGGTATTTACGGGACTACTTCAGCCTTGTTGCTCACTGACTTTTAAAAACCTTTTTAAAAGGCCATTTATTCCTGCTATTATCACTGGATAGTTAAAGGTGTAAGGGGTAGACTCCCGCGGTAAAATTTAAAATGATTGAAAATATTCACTAATAATAAATAGTCAGGGTATTTTTATAATTTAGTTTGGTCCCGGTTACGATGCCGAAAACAGCTAAATGAATACTATTTTCTGACTAAATAGGTAACAGGAAGTGTGACATAAGCTTCGATGATTCTGTATAACTTACAATTCGTCCATATTTATATCCATTGGCATCTCACAGTTTTATCTGCAGTTCAATTCGATGCTTGTCTGTTGTTTTTCTTTCATACTGAAAAATAGACTTGTGAATCAGGGATAAAATCTAGGTAACAAACGTTTCTTTGAAAGACGAACAAGTTGGACAGACACACTATTTTCCTTTTTTTCCCCGTGGCATTCTGGTTCTTCTGTGTTATTCACTTTATTTTGCCTAACATATTCTTCAATTCCAGCCAACCATTTTCTGCTGTCAACAAACTACGCTGTTTGGTTTCCGAACCTTACAAGCATTTGCTAGTTTCACTGGATGTTCTTATTTCACATATGAATTTATGTGGAGATGTGGCTCACTGCCATTACCAATTGATTTTGGGCTAGATAACGTGGTTCGAGTCCCTCTACACCTACTTCAGTCTGATTGACTGAGTAGTGTAGTTAGCCCCTTACATGATATATATGACTCATAATCTGTTATGTGGGAAATATTTCCCATTAAAATGCGTTATAATTAAGTAACTTTTTCGCCCATGTATACTGGTATTTATTGTGGGGAATAAATAATACTTTTAAAAAGCTGTTTTTAAGCAGTTAGGATTTGTCCCACCCTATACTTTTGATTCATCTGGATAGAGGTGGTTTATCTCTGTTAGCATATGGGTTTCTACAGCAGATGCCTTTGTATTTACCCGAATATCATTTTAATGTCATTTCTTTGGTGGCTAGTAGTCAGGTGTAGAAGTAACCTGTTCTGCCTTTTAAGTCATCAGGGGATGAATAATGATGACACCTTGCATCTTTTCTATAACTCTGTCTTTTTACAGCACTCCTCACCTTTAGAGGATTTAAAAATATTGGTCACTGCTCTATATTTTGCGTAAATTTTCTCTCAATACTCTTTACTGGAGCTGAAGAGAATTCCTGGTTCATGATAATAAACTGACTTTTGCTAATGATAACAAAGTCCCTATATCTTATGTCGTTTCCGGTCTATTTCATTGTATACTGTATGCGTTAGGGGTATTCTCGATCGGTGAAGGCATGACCTTACTTTTCTACCATCTCCACCAGGCTTTGGCATGCGAATTTTCCAGCTGGAACTATAAATATTCTTTGTCAAACTTTTTGTTCAAATTGTTTGCGTAACAGCAAGAGGGAGTGAATCAACAGGAAATCTAAGTGTCAATTTCATACTTGTTAGCATTTATTTGAAAGGCTTATTGTATTATCTGTAAGCTTGTAGGAACTCATATCTCCTTTGTGATTAGAACCTGCACTACTCAGTATAGGAGTAAGAAACTCTACTACTGAGTTGTTTAATTGAAGACTGACCATGATTACTATATATATGTGATCTGTCAATGAGTGCCAGAAAGCTCGAAACCCTTGTCCAGGGTTTCTACCGTTACCTTAGATTTTCTTCAACTCTTCCAATAACTTGGTATGTAATTCACATATTCATTCATTTTTTGTCTTATTTCGTCTTATTTCTTCCGTTCAAATTCCTAACTTTTTAAATGTACGTGATAAATATTCTAAATCTCTGACTCTTTCTTTTTTACAATGACTTGTAATTTTTCTAAATTTTTAATGGCAATCATTTCTGAGCGATGGTCATCACTTATCGTCTTTCTAAATCAGGCGATTCATTATTTTGCATGATATGTAAGTTTATATTTGTTTTGTTACCAACTGATGTGAATAGTTGACGCGCTATAGGGCAGTTCTCTGACCTTTTACAATACTATATAGCACTGTACATCTTTGAAGTGAAGTTACGAGAAGAATATTCTTTACTGATGTATATCTTGTTTTTTTCCTTATCGATCAGGTTTTCTATACATTTAATATACGATTACATCACTTAGCATATGACATATCGTCTAACCTAATGGTCATATTTGCGCACGTGGTCGATAGTTTTCTTTGAACTTTTGTGATTATACATTTAGAATGTTTTTAAGAATTCTACGACCACTTCTCAAGCAGTAGAACTTTGTCTGATTGGTAGCCAAACTAGATATCATGATGGATAAAAAATATTCTTATTCTACAACTCTACAATCGCATTGTGTTTCCCCATTTTCATTTGTAAATAATCATACAATTACTCTTCACGATATCTGATTAATATCAAGTGGTGGAAAAAGACCGTGAAATGCTGGAACTGATGACGGAATACACGTATGTATGCTAACTATTGCCAGATCGCGACTATATATGGCAGTATGGGAGATTTATACTTCTGAATTTATATAGTAGTTATTGAATGTTTCGTTAAGTAAAGTGTTTCAGGATTTCATCATGAGCTGATAACGGTTAGAGAGAACCATTGGAAAACCTACAGGGAGTACTGGACTACCAGGTGTTTCGTCTGCCTAATTTGGGACTCTTCATTAGTACGCACCCACCAACCCCAGTAGGGTTCGAACCCCGGACCTTCTGGTTACAAGGCGAGCTAGCTCGTAGACCATTAAGTCACTGGAGCGTAATCTAATGACCAGTCTTTGGATTCCAACTTCTACTAATTCACGACATAGGGTGACTGCTAGCCAATGTCTTTGTTGAGTATTTGTCCTCTCACACGACCTGTTGCACGCTACTGGTCACGACGTTCCACTTGGCATAGCAATAAAATGCCTTGCGTGAAAAACAGAATCAGAATCACGATGAAAAAACTTTTTGTCAAGAAATTCTAACTTTTATGTATTTACCTGTTTTTAAATTTACCGTAAAATGTTGACTAGCTGACTGGATCGAAGTTCAGAACTTTACGTAGAAGTACAACAGTGCAAGTTGACATACTTCACGTAGGACACAGATGTCGAGAAAAGAAAAAGGGTAAAGCATGAGAGAATTTAATCGATCCTGGAGATCATAAAGATTGAACTCATTTGCGCTATTAGAAACAATTTTGAATCGTATCACCTTTTTTCAGCTATTGGTTCTTAGTATCCCGAAGACTTCAACCAAGGTATTCTACACCTTCCTATATGGCTCCACCCAGGTGTTAAAGACTTCATGAATTGGATTGGTGGCAGATTTTGGTCTAGCAAACGCCAACTCTTTTCCAACCTATGTCAATTAACATTCATTGGCTTGGCATGCGCAACACACGTGTCCTAGTCATCTCAGCCGGCATGGTTTCACAACCTCATTGACTGACTTTCCCACCTTATCTAACATTCTACTCGTAACCTCACTGTTGTTCACCATAAAACCCCGTATCATGGGTCAATAGAGCAAAGACGATTAGCTTCTTCAGGTCTTTCATTTTCAATGACCATGTTCCTTAGCCATAAAGAATTATAAAATATGTCTAAAGGATTTTAAGGGTTCATCAGAAGTTGCAAATATATATAAAGGGTCATAACACTTGTACTTATCTCATAGTTATGTTAAAAAGCATGAATAAGGCGGTATATATCAAGTTGAAAGCGTTGACCTAAAAGTGAGCATATCAGTTATAATTTCTAACGAATAAAACATTAGTGCGACAGTTTTTTTTATATCTTTTATGCTTTATTCTATAGTGTCAGCGTTTTCACTTTCTATTCCTCTTATATGCAATTGTACTCCTTCTTTTTCATGCTACTATTATGTGTCTATGTATTTTTTATGCACTCATGCGAATCAGGTTAAACCTCTTATTTGGGTAGAAGCAATTATCGAGAAACACGCTCACAGTCGTATGGAGTATATGGTTAAGGTAAGTTACTTTCTGTAATGTTTTTCTATTTGTCAGTGACTAATTGTCTTAGTCCAAAGTCCTTGTTATTATGAAAAAAAAATCTTTTATTTTCCAGTATAATCCTAAGCAAAGAAAACAGCTTGTGTTGTTGTGTTGACAATTAGTTTCGGTTGTAAATCATCCAAGGCATAAATTCAACTTGCAGTTGTAGTTTTAGTGAGTTTGTCAGTAAAAAAACTGTATATTGCTTGTTTGTCAATCAATATAAAGCCCTGCGTCAACTCAACCCCATAGAAAATCGTCTGTTAGGTGTGATGATTTATTTCTAACCGCTAACACTATATTAGTTGCATGGAAATACTAAATTTTTTTAAGTAAGAGCTTTCAAGGTGTGTTGTTAAAATAACAGATAATTGATTAAATGACATTTATGGTTACTTGCAGTTTTTATGATTACGGATATGTAGCAGTGGTTGAATAGTTTAACGAGATCACCTTGTAACCTGAGAGACCTGGGTTGGATCTCCTAAGGAGTCGTCATGGGTACGTAGTGCTTAGGAGTCCCAACTAGGACTGTTCAGTACTTCCTAGCTTTTTCACATCGGTAGCCCAACAGTAGAATGCACCCGCTAGCTATGCGGGTTCGCATCCCGGACGATGCACTCTTGAATCCCGCCTAGTTTACTAGAGAGTAGTAAGACCGGAGAAGAGGGGGGAAGGTAGGTTGAGCATGAGGGTAGCAACCCCCACCGGTGGCACTGGAACTTTAAAAGCTTTAAGCTCTCTATCACATTCGGTAGAACACAAAGAATGAAGGTAAGAAATTTTTATTACCGTATGCCATACTCAATCATCAATCAGGAGAGATAAATGTTATTACCCAGCAGTTTCTTTCCTTTTACAATCGACTGAAGATGGAAGAAATGCGGGAGAATTTAAGTTCTTTTATTTTAGGATGTGTTATAGAATTTCGCGTGTATTCTGAAACCATAGACTGAGTAATTTTCACATTTCCTTTCGATATTTTACTTCTGACTAACTGACTGGATTCAACGTAGAAATATGCACAGAAGTGCAGCAATTCGAGTCGCCACACTCTATGCACCACACAAAGCAAGTGAAGAGAGACGATAAACAGAAGTGTGAGGGAAAAGGAATAATAATATGGAAGAATAACAGAGTTTTATTGGATATTATAAATCATAAAGAGTGAATGCATCTGCGCCAGCCATTAAAAACGGTTTTAAGCCATACCACCAATTGTCTCCAGCCTTCATTGGTTCTTACCATCCTGAGGATGCCAACCAGTCAGGAAGTCTACATCTTATCTGACTTAAACGAACTGTTATGGATTTGTTTCATTGACTAATGAAGTCATGTTTTGGTTTGACCACCGCTAGCTCTTTTCCAACCTGATCCATCCTATATCAGCTAACATTGCCCATCGAGGAAAGTGATGGCTGGGCATGCATGATACACGTCTTAACCATTTCAATCCATGTAACTTCACAAACTAATCGATTGATTTCCCCTGGACTGAGGCCTAAGCTCAATATTGCTCACTCTATTATACCACTTAACATAGGAGATAGAACGCAGGCATCTATGATCAAAGGCAGCTAGCCTTTTCATGTCTCCCACTCTCAATAGCCAGGCCTCACGGCCGTAAAGGAGGACGGAGCGGACTGCTGAGCAGCGCAGACGCCTTTCGGTCGACAGCCAGCCGAATATCACGTTTACACCGGAGATGGCGTAAGTTGGCGTATGCCAAAAGAGCTTTCTGTATATGCTGAGATTTCGTTAGCGATCAACCTGCTACCATTGACCGATTCAAATTTCCAAATAAGTGAAGTGGTCAACACGCTCAGCCACCATATTTCACTCCGCATCTTTAAACTACATTTTACTTTTGGTTTTATACAACGGACGGATATGGTACATGCTATGTTATGTTATTCATGGTGGGCTGCGATCACAGAGACTGCTGAATTGTGTGGATGACGAAAGTTTATTTCTTCTTGGTGAGGGGGGACAACTGCTTGAGGTTGGTGATACATGACCTGTCTCAAGTGGTCTTTGAATTTGTGTCCGTATTAAGTACGATCTTACCGCTGGCTACGCAGATCGCCGCAAAGTAGATCTGGACATGCAATTTTTGGGGTCTACCTTTGCTTCCCAGAGCTGAGAGGCAGTAGTATAGGGAGACACATTATGACGTCATCCACAGACCTACAACATAGTGTAAATTACTTATTACTGTGATGGAAACTGTTTTTAGTCAAGTCACCAGCTAGTACTGCTCGTTGGTTCGTTGGAATATAAAATCCCAGTTACCATGTCAGCGTAGCAGCTATTGGTCGGGGGTACATAGAGTAAGTTGTCTGAAAAGGAAGCAATTTCAGACATCCTAAATATTTTAATCTGTTAATAATAATAATAATAATAATAATAATAATAATTTGCTTTATTCCAAAACAGTACTTATGACACAGGATGGAATTCTCAGCAGTTTTACTACATTATTGCATCCAGTTAGTACATTATCAATAAATAAAATTTTACATAGATTAAGGGTTATCTCAGTTAGTTTTGACAACAACGTATTGGCATGTCGGTAGCAAAGCCAAAGTTGAACAGTGTTTGAAGGTGTTAGAAAAGTAGGTGCTGTCATATTTACTGGCGTAAGCGGAAGAAAGAAACAAAGCAGCACATAACGGAAAAGAGATAGAGAGAAAAAGGAAAAGAAAGAAAGAAAATGTTCTACCTATAAATGATATGAGTTGGAAAGACGAGGTACAGTTGTTCTACTGACTATTTAATGAATTATAGGTGTCACGCCTAATGCTTTCTTTATCACACAGAACACGAGCTAAGTAGGGTATGGTTGAGTTTTTGTACTTGCTTGTGCGAGCATATAGTTTTCTATATAGGCTTCTGGTTTTGCCTGATGAGATGCAAGGGGAGAGTTGTAAGTGAAGAGGGTGGTGTGAGTTAGAAAAAATGGATTTGGCCCATTTTTCACATGAGTTCATGTGCCTGTCGACCAGAATATTAACAAGCTGGTTAAGTGGCACGTTGCTTACCCTGCTGACAACCTTTAACATCCTGCGTAATAAGGTATAGTCTTTCTTCAGTAGCCCGGGAAAAACTAAGGGGGAACAATAGAGAATAATAGGCAGGATGTGAGAATTAAAGAATCGTAAGAGTAAGGGTTGGGTTATTCCAGAATGTCTTAACTTCTTGATGTAGAAGTTAAGACGGAATATTTTCTTAGAAATCATCAGGATATGAGGCGACCAGGAAAGATCAGCAGATTGAATGACACCTAGGTATTTAATTTCCGACTTGGTTTCTATTTCAGTGCCATCTATGTTGCACACCTTGTGAGTGCTAACCAGTTTGTTTAGATCGGATTTATGCCTAAAGGTGAAATTGACTGTTCCATCTTTATTATTTTATTCTGCTTTTATTCTGTTTCTTTACTCTTATTCACTAGGCTAAAGCACAATTCAAACGTCGAAGTACAGCGAATCAAGTGGAAATTCATATCCCAGTCCCGTCAGATGTTGATTCGCCTAGATTCAAGACAACAATGGGCAGTGCTAAATACGTACCAGAGACAAATGTTGTTATCTGGACAATACGCAGTTTCCCAGGTGGTAAAGAATACATTCTGAGAGCTAGTTTTGGTCTACCTTCCGTAGAAGGTAATCAAGATGTTGAATCAAGACCACCGATAACAGTGAAATTTGAAATACCCTACTTTACTGTTTCTGGTTTACAGGTATGTGTGGGAATGAATATGTGTGTTTATTATTGTTATTGTTTTGATGTAAAATTTAACTTGTATGTGGATGTGTGCTTCAGTTAAATGTTTATGTAGGTTAATAATAAGCCTTATCTCTTTCTTGCTATGCTGGCAAGAAAAACTTATCGTGTAGGTGGTTGTGGTTGGCTGGCTGGCTGGATTCAACATACAACTTGGCACTGAAGTACAGCAGTTCGAGTTGCCACGTTCCAAAGAGCACACAAACGTAGACACGTAGATGAGTGAAGAGAATCAATAGAGTTTTGACAAGTATAAGAGTGAAACAGAATGAGCAATGGTAGAAAGGAATATGAAAGATTACACAAGAGACTGAATACATCTGCGTAAGCCATTGACAACGATTTTGAGCCATGTCGCCTATTGTCTCCAGCCATTGATTCTTAAAGTCCCGAGGGCGGGCCCCAACCCGGAAGTCTGCATCTCCCTACCTGACTCAGTTTGACTGTCAGGGATTTCATGGATTGATGCCATGTTTTTGTTTGGCATGGCACCGCTTACTCTTTTCCAACCTGCACCTATATCAGCTAGTAATGCCCGTCGTCGGAGGCGATGGCTAGGCATGCGCAGCACGTGACCTAGCCATCTCAATCTATGTAACTTTATAGCCTCGTCGATTGATTTTCCCTCTTTGCCCAACACTTTACGCCTAACGTCAACATTACTTACCTTATTATACCACCTAACGTGAGAAAGAGATCGTAAACATCTGTGGTCAAAAACAGACAATCTCTTCATGTCCTCCGTTCTCAGTGGCCACGTCTCACCGCCATAGAGAAGGACGGAGCGAACTGCTGAGCAGTACGCACGTCCCTTGGTTGATAGCCGGATGTCACGCCTACGCCAGAGATGGTGTAAGTTAGCGAAAGCAGCTCGAGCTTTTTGGATCCGTGCTGAGATTTCGTCACCAATCAATCCATTGGTGCTGATACAACTTCCCAAATAGGTGAAGTGGTCAACATGTTCTATCACTTCACTCCCTATCACTAAGCTAGGAGTTGACGTAGTCCAGTCCTGTAGCAGCATCTTACATTTCACAGGGGCGAATCGCATGCCAAACATACGAAGATTGCTGCTCAAGGTGTTCAGAAGACTGCATTTTGTCAGCATCCTCCCCTAACAGGACTATGTCGTCTGCATATTCTAAGTCCATAAGACTATTCCCTGGTAACAAGTCGATTCCTAAGACGTTAAGTTCAGTTAAGGATACTTCCATTAGCATATCTGCAGACAATGGGGGTTCCAACGGGATATTATTCTCACAGTAAGAATCAATGGATTTGTTGGTGTTAACGTCTAAATACTATTCCCATAGTTCAATAGTATACATTAGCAACAGAATAATATGTGTATTTGAACATTCTAATTAATATATGTGTAAAACTTGGACACTGTGGTGGTAGTAAGTAATTCCATATTAGTTTGTTTATTAGATGTATCACACAGTGAAACAGTATTTTTGCTTACTGGATGACAAGGTTTCAAAAAAAATTTATTGTTCATAATCACTTCATCAATTGTAATCACACGACTTCAAAACTTGAGTTTTATAGTTTTCTTTGTGCTCTCCTATTTGTCGTTGTTGGGGTAGTAGGATTTTCCAGATGTCCGGTTGGACAGGTGTTGAATCATTCCTGTTACGAATATTTGCAGAATTCTTAACAAGGCAGGGATAAAAGTGGCTGGCATTCATACCCACAAACTCAATTAGAAACAAGCTTTGTCGGTTAAAGGATAAATCCTGTGGAGCCTTTAAAACAAAACAATTTAGTTTATCTAATACCCTGCAATGATTGTCAGGTCAAATACATAGGTCAAACTAGGAGAACAGAGTCAGTCAGACCAGCCGAGCATAAAATCTAGCTGCAAAATGTAGATTAGTTGACCCGAATAAGATAAGAAATCTAGAGAGTAGTTCAGCTATAGCACTACATGCAATTACATACAACCATACAATAGGACGGATGGGATAGGATGACAGTTTTAAAATCTAATGTCACAGGGTATAGGGAGAGATTTATAACAGAAGCTTTGTTTATCGAATCAACTACAAATACATGTAATAGGAATGATTCAACACCTGTTCCGCCCGGGCTATCTAGAAAATTCTACTATCCCAACGACAACAAATAGGAGAGAACAAAGAAAACTATAAAACTCAGGTTTCGAAGTAGTTGTGTTTATAATTGATATGATTATTAACTATACTAGATTGTGTTCGAAACGTCATCCAGTAAACAATAATACTGTTCCACTGTGTGATACATCTAATAAACAAATTAACATGGTATTTAAACATTTGATTTCATGTCGTTTAATGTGAACCAAAATCACATGGTCAGTGATTGGTTAAAGAACATAAACGGTATAGATATAAATAGCTGTTCAATCACTTGAAAATATACCTTGACTTCCGTATCTTGCATGCTGCTGTTACAATCGTACTGCCCTGTTAGTATTAAGCGTGGTGATTTAAAAGTAAGTAATTAAAGCTAAAATAGTCAGTCTTCTGAAATACATACAATTCGTACCTTATGTCTATTTCCAGAGATAATGCTATTTTCTTCTGGTTTTTCGAGGGTCGTTCTCTTTCTCCCTCTCTTTCTGAAAGTTCTGTTTTCCGACCCAAAGTACTTGAATAAACAACAAGTGTTGGTTTGCAGGAATTCGATTGGTTACAAGTTTTTTCATGAGTCGACACCAGTTAGAGAACCTATGGGAGCACTGGACAACTGTCTCGTCATAATTTGGGGTTCCAATCCCAGGACCTTCTAGTTACAAGGCGATGTCGTAGACCATTCAGCCACTAAGACCCGATTCAATGGCCTATGAATCCTGACTTCTACCAATTTGTGATATATATAGCGCGCAACTGCCAGCCAAAATACAGTTGTACAAATCCTCTGAGTAACGATGCCCATAGGCCTGATGTGTTAACCTTTCACATTTGAAAACTGCAAAACATTCCGTATAAAGTAATCCGCATTTATTTTTCACTTAAAAATAAGGAGCGAAGTAGATAAATTAACCTGTTAACCATTCTCATTTGTGTTCTTAATTCAATTTTCCCGTTGATTAATTGGACCGGAGTGCGCTCAGTCTCTGTTGACATGTCGGCTCTTACTACAGACGCTTCGATGATATCTGAGGAATACCTTGAAATAGTTTATTAGATGATGACTAGCACTGAAATTCAGGATGACCATTAAGTCCAATTTGGGACTCATTATCTGGATATACCTGCATTCCCCAGTGGTACAGGTACATCCAGATAACGAGTCCCGAATTGGACGAAACGATTATTCTGAATTCCATTGTTAAGTCAGTCACCATCCACCAAACTACTGTTAACCATTCTGTTGATACAAAAAAAACTGACGTCGATTTGGTTAGAATAATGATTAGTAAAATGTTGTCACTTTCTCAAAAAACAAATCGTCAAACAAAAATTCACAACTTGCTGCTTGTAGTTCAGATGAAATATCCGTATTTCTAGAGACTAACAAGTGCATTGCACTGCAGCATGCATGTTCTATCCAAAAACGTGCCGACTGAAGATTCAGGATATATCGGAATTCTAAATATTATGTAATTACCGTCGCCTTTGTAGTAGTGTGGTGAGAGCTGTCTGCAAGCCGAAATTGTAGACAACAATTCAAGTCAATGTTTACGTCCTGAATCGGGGTCATGAGAAAAAACAATAACAAAGCTTAACCTTGAGGGACTCACCAGCCAGTCACAGCAGACTTAACGCGTACCAATACGGTTCTCAGATATGTGGCTTAACTTTCTGAGAAACGGTCACAAGCAGTACACAATAACCTTCGGAGAGAAAACAACCAATCAGAAGAGGTTGCTTCTTTGCTAACAATAACGAATAATAATATAAGTAAGAAAATATATATCCGTTGATTTTCTCAATAAACTATCTGTTTCCTGGCCCTTGTCTCCTATCGTCACAGTAGTGTTTTAACAACTGAAGACAAGACACGGGAGCCAAGGTATATTTTTCATTAAACAAACCGCTGTTTATATATGTACAGTTTCTATTCGTTAACCAATCACTGAGAGTGTGATTTCGGTTTACATCAAACGACAAGAAGCAGAATGTTAAAATATACACAGTATTCTGTTGTTAATGCAGTATATAACTGTTGGAAAAGTATTCTGTCTCTAACATCAAATAGAATGTTCAAATAGATCTATCGTATTCTGTTGTTAATGCCGAATTGAAGTGTGGGAACATGTGAGACATTCGGCTGGCACACATTGTCTGTATCACACCACCACAGTATCACTTGTGTAACCTTACATCTTTAAAGTGTTTGTGTAGCTCTATGGCACCTAGCAGATGACTAATGTCAACACTTTACAATTCTACCGAATTAACTGCATTTAAGTAGTAGAGTAAATAAAGAATGAAGTACTTCACGTTAGATCACAAATTGACATAAGTTAGAGGTTGACTGTAAACCAGGGAGTACCTGGACAGCTATTTTGTCTCAGTTGATGACTCTTCGACACTATACACTCATAACCGCCCTGTCACGGATTGAGTCGAGGATGTCCAGGTTATGAGGTGAGTCCGTGGGCCATTTACTTGCTGGAACGAAATCCAGTGACCTATGACTTCTAACCTATATTGATTCGTGATATGTAGCGTCAGTAGCAGCCAGTCTCGCCGGATTTCATCCCAGTGACTGGATAGCGAATGGTCTCACCTCATAACCAGAATGTACTGGATTCGCCCACCGGTGGGATGGTGTGTGCATATTCTTGGCAAGTCCCGGACCGGGACGAAATGACTTCACAATCATTTCTAGTTTCTAGTGATTGTCCAAATCATGTCAGTTCTTGATATATCCTGAAAACGATTAAATCCATGCAAAACAACATTTGAACATAGTGTTTTTTTCCAAAAATAGAACTTGAGCATTTCAAATGCTATTTTCTTTGTGATTTCGATTGATTTCATGTCTAATTTTGTCAATAACAACCAAACAACAGTTCACTTTAAAATCTGACGGTAGTTAGCGTGCACACTGTTGAAGAGTTGAAAACCAGGTCAGAAATCAATATTCATTACTTCTTGGTTTTCAGCTGGCCATCTTAACACGAAGTCTGTCATGGCGACATTTTGATCTAGGAGGGGGGTGTTGAAAATTTATGTTAATTGGTCATACGTTAAAAGTATGTTTTGAAATCTATGTTACGGGATTTCATTGTAAGCTGATATCGGTTAGAGAACCGTTGGAAAACCAGTGGGGAGTGCTGGACGGTTGTTTTGTCAGCCTAGTTTGGAACTCTTCGGCAGTACACACCCACCCCAGTGGGGTTTGAACCAGGAACCTTCCGGTTACAAGGCCAGCTCGTAGAACATTGAAGTAGTGGGACTCGACTCCACAGTGACTAGTCCATGAATTCCAAATTCCGCCAATTCATTATATAGCGCAACCACTAGCTAATGTCATTGGTGCCGAGTACTTGTCCACACACTCAACTTGCTATGCCCCACTGGTCACGACTTCCCACTAGAACCCCAGGTAACTACCTACCTGAATAGGGCTAGTCGCCAGTGAGCATCTCATTGATATTCAAATGTCGGTTTGTAGGGAATTGATTGATTAGTTACAGGGTTTCATTGTGAGCTGACTTCGGTTAGAGAAGTCTTGACCAGTAGGGTGCAGCAGGTCTGATGTGAGGACAAATACTCGCCACCACTCACCATTGGCTAGTGGTTGCGCTATATAATGAATTGGCGGAATTTGGAATTCATGGACTAGTCACTGTGGAGTCGAGTCCCACTACTTCAATGTTCTACGAGCTGGCCTTGTAACCGGAAGGTTTCTGGTTCAAACCCCACTAGGGTGGGTGTGTACTGCCGAAGAGTTCCAAACTAGGCTGACAAAACAGCCGTCCAGCACTCTCCACTGGTTTTCCAACGGTTCTCTAACCGATATCAGCTCATTATGAAATCCTGCAACTAATCAATCAAATCCTTACAAACTAATATTTGAATATTATGCTTTTTCTCAAGTTTTTGGTGGAAACTTGTGAACCAGCAGTCTATAAACACTTTTCCAGCACTCGTGGGGGGAGTCATTGGAGGTCATATTTTAGCAGATTAAAACAATGTGAATGTGAGAAATAATAAGCTGAAGGTTTGTGTTAGCCCAAGTTCTAAACAGGCCGTCACCCAAACAACAAGAATTATACCAAAATTTTGATTAACTCAAAGATAATTTAATCAAAATTTTTGATGCTAAACCAACAAATTTCGGAAAAAAACTACGATTTAACGGAGTCCTCAAGGATTTGTTTTTGGAGAAAGAAAGAAGTGGTTTACTCAACAGCCACGTGCAAATCCATCCAGTTGGTAATGAGCCACCTCTGTTGTATTGAGCTCTAGTGATACTGTCTAACCGCCTAAACCTCAGTAGGTGGACCAACAGATAGGATTGGCCAACTGTTTCGTCCCCAGTTTGGGACTTCTCAGTAGTATGCACTCATGACCTTACCTGAATAGAACCCAGGACCTTCGGGTTGCGAGGCGAACCTGTCGGTCTTTTTGACATTGGGACACATCATTTTATGCCCTGAAGGTATAAGAAATATCATTGGGATAAAAGTGAAATGAAATTCAGCTTAACAACTACTTGCATTCCCATGCAGTTGGCATTGAGTCACATTTATTGTTTAATAAATGTTTGATGATTGTATCTGGTAGGTGAAACGGGTCTCGAACCCATGACCCAGTGGTTGCAAGTGCCTAGATCAATAAGCCACAACTTCCCGGGTATGTTGTTAAACCATTCAAAACAGCAAACATATAATAACTATGAGTGGACTAAAATTTGAGTAACACTCATGTTTCATCATTTCCTGTCACTTTAGACAAAAGCCACAAACGGTTCTTTTGATCGTGACCCAAGTGCTGTAGTGGATAACGCATTGATGTTTGAAATGATGGGTACCGGTTTCGAGCCTCACTGGAAGTGCAGGTACATCCACTTACTGATGAGTCCCAAATAGGACGAAATCATTATCCTAGTTGGATTCCACTGCTAGTCACCAAAATTACTTCAAGTTTAATCCCCATCAGACATCGTTGAAGCATCTGTGTAGTGATAAACCGTTGACATGTCAACTGGGAGAGGGACAGATGGGCAAAACGCACCTCGGTCCTCCAGTTCATCAAAGAGGAAAATCAGAATTCATTATATATTCCTGCTTTCGTTTTTTTTCTTTTTCTGTCACTTATAATTATAGGTGCATCATTTAAAAATTATTGAAAAATCTGGTTACCATGCCTTGCCATGGGTTCGGTACATTACACAGAATGGGGATTATCAATTGCGTACACTATAAAAGGAAGGATACACGAATGAGATACTACTTGTCCATACACATCCACACACACTTTTTTTAACTGTTGGTGATAATTTTATAGTTTATTATTTGACTACTGAACTTTTTATGAGTAATATGTTTATGCTAATCAAGTTTTATATTATCATTATTATTATTATTTTATCTCCTATGCATTATTCATATACATATTTTATGGAAGGATATTTTAATTCTTATCCTATGTGAATCTGTTGATTTCTCTGTGGGTTCCTCTGTCTTTTAAAACAAGATTTTCTTCTGGTTTTTACTGTTTAATCTCAATATGTTGTTGTTTTTAAAAAACACATTTTTCGTCTTGATTTTAACTTTCCGTCTTGGATTTTTACTTCTGCTTTTATTCTATTCTCATATGAGAGTGTCTATCTGTTTGTGTTTGGTGAAAGATGTACACCCCTCGTCCCTACACACTCACACACAACAAAATTGATAGATATCTATTACTTACATGGCTGTGAATCACCCTTGTCCCATTCCAAGCACCCACTCCTATCACACACCCTTCCCCTCGGTGCACAAAACACCCTCCCCCCTGCCCTACTCATTATTATTATTATTATTCATGCTTAATTCTTTTACTTGAAGGTGTTACATAATCTGTTACAATTCACTATTGTCACATACTCGCATTGACTATTACTGGCTATCAGAAGAGACGGAGGGATGCGGGGTACAATACGCATATACACATACACGCATAAATGTGTACGTGCCCATTGATCTCAAAAAAACATGTGAATACCATCCAAACTGAATCTTTTTTTAGGTGCTTACCACTCATTGTTCTTGTGCTTTTTTAAAACAACCCCAGTTTAAACCTCCTGTAATTTTAATGACTTCGTTTGTGGTCATTGTGATGGCAAGAGAGAGAAAAGTAGTAGTGCATTGTTTGTTGTATAATTTTAACTCTGAACAAAACAAAAAACTTCGTTATCTTTCTGCCTTTTGAAGTATTTTCAGTAGGTTTGCTTTCCCCTTGTTGTGAGATGAGATGTCATTTCAAGGCGATGACTCTCCCCCCCCCTTTGTTTTGTTTGTGGTCATTTCTACATTGAATGATTATATTTTGGGGAGGGGATGATAAGGAGATCTGAAAAGGCCTTTTTTCTTAGCAAAAATATTTAACTTTTCCTATTTATGTTAGCATTCATGGTGGTAATTGTTTGCTTCTTCTTCATATCAAAAATGTGTAATTTTTTAATAAATATAATATCGTTTTCATTTGTCTCTGGTTGTTGTTATGGAGAGAGTTGTCATCTGAAATGGTGTCGACCAGTGTGTGTATGTGTGTGGTGTCCATCGGTCGATCGGTCGGTTTTCGACATAGAACTTTGCACATATGTGCAGCAGAATTCAAGTCGCCACACTCCATGTAGCACACAAAGCAAGAGAAGAAAGTAGGAGAAATGCATATTAGAGACTGTAAACAGAGGTGTGAGACAAAGGAATAGTAATTATGAAGAACAATATAGTTTCATTGGAAATTATAAGTCACAAGGAGTGGATGCATCTGCGCCAGCCATTGAGAACGATTTTGAGCCATGTCACCAATTGTTTCCAACCATTGATTTTTACCGTCCCGAGGACCCCAACCAGTTAGGAAGTCTACACCTTCCTACGTGGCTTAGACTAACTGTTGTGGATTTCATTGACTGGTGGCATGTTTTCATTTGACCGCCGCTTGCTCTTTTCCAGCCTGACCCTATATCAGCTAACATTGCCCGTCAGTCGAGGAAGGCGATGACTAGGCATACGTAACACATGTGGGTGTCCATCAAGGATGCTAGCCCATTGCCCCTTATTTCTATTTAATTTCATCATATATGTACTGATGGGATTAAATCTAACTGACGTCAGTGACTCAGGTGTTGACTTTTTACCATCAGGGAATAATAGTCTCGTTGACTTAGAATATGCAGATAACATTACTCTTGTAGATGAAGACGCTTGCTGCTAAAATACAGATTCTTCTGAATACCTTCAGGAGTAGAAATCTTAGAATTTTTGGCATGCGACTTACTCCTGTCAAATGTAAAATAATGCTGCAAGACTGGATTAAATCGACTCCAAGCTGAGAGATTGGGAGTGAGGCGTTAGAACGTGTTGACCACTTCACTTATTTGGGGAGTTGCATCGGCCTCAACAGGTTGATCGCTGATGAAATCTCAGCACGGATACAGAATGCTCGTTTGGCATATGTCTACCAACTTACCCCATCTCCGCCTTAGTAGACGTGATATCTGGCTGGCTGTCGACCAAAGGGCGCGTGTACTGCTCAGCAGTTCGTTCTGTCCTCCTTTATGGCTGTGAGTCAGACACGGCCATCGAAAATGGTACCTGTCTTTTACCATAGGTGTCTGCGTTCTATCTCCCATGTTAGGATGCACGATAGGGGGAATAATATTGAGGTCAGGTGTTGAGTGTTAGGTAAAGAAGGTAAGTCAGTCGATTAGGTTGTGAAGCTACATGGATTGAGATGTCTAAGACGTGTGGCATGTATGCCTGGTCATCACCTTCATCGACGGGCAATGTTAGCTGACATAGGATCAGGCTGGAAAAGAGTTGGTGATGGTCAAACTAAAACATGCCGTAAAATCTTTATCAGGCAGTTTTAGCCACGTCGAAAGGTGTAGACTGTATGGTTGGGTTCTTCGGGATGGTAAAAACCAATGGCTGGAGGCAACTGATGGTATGGCTCAAAATTTTGTGTCAGCTGCAGCTGGTGCACTTTTGTGAGAAGTTCTGTGCTGAAACCAGTCAGGCATATTGAGTAATCTGAGCACTTGATTTTCAACTAGTGTGATATTTGGTTTTCGCAATGGTGTAAATTTTGAACAGATAGACAATAATGGTAGTTAGCACATTAGAAGGAATTTTGTTTCACAGTAGAATGTAGTAGAATTTCTCCATACTTACTGACTTTTGGTGGGACCAAATTTTTCGTTGGCGAATCACAAGTCTGATTAGAAGTTGACATCAGTTAGAGAACTATTGGAAAACCTGGACAGCCGTTTCGTTCTAGCTTTTCTTCTGCGACTCTTCTTCAGTGCGCACCCACTCGGGTTCGAACCCAGGTACTTTGGATTATGTGGGGGCTAGTAGACCATCCAGTCACTGGGTCAGGCTGGAAAAGAGCTAGCGATGGTCAAACCAAAACATGGCTTTACCAGTCAATGAAATCTACAACAGTTAGTCTAAGCCACGTAGGAAGGTGTAGACTGGTTGCCTGGTTGGGGTCCTCGGGACGGTAAAACCAATGGTTGGAAACAATTGGTGACATGGCTCAAAATCGTTCTCAGTGGCGCAGATGTATCCACTCCTTGTGACTTATGATTTCCAATGAAACTGTTTTGTTCTTCGTTATTACTATTCCTTTGTCTCACACCTCTGTTTACTGTCTATATTATGCATTTCTCCTACTTTCTTCTCTTGCTTTGTGTGCTACATGGAGTGTGGAGACTCGAACTGCCACACATATGTGCAAAGTTCTATGTCGAAAACTGACCGACCGACCTAGTAGACCATTCAGTCACTGGGACCCTGACTCAGTGGCCCACGAAATCCAACATCTGCCATTTCGTGAAATATGTAGCGCAACCGCCAGCCAGTGTCATCAGTGAGTAAGTGTTCCCTTACCTGACTCAGGTCACCTTGGTTTTGAAGAGTCCCAAATTTGGACGAAACAACTGTCAAGTACTCACAGGTTTCCCAGTGGTTCTCTAACTGATGTCAGCTTGTGATCAGACTTGCAAGCAATCAGATCCTTGCAAACCAACACTCAATAGTTAATCTGATGCTCATTAGCAGATTACTCATTTTAATGCGTTTATTTACTGCAGTTTGCCTGGGAACCTCAAAATATTCTGATCACACCATGTGATCTGCCTGATTGCATAAATGATGATTGTTAGCAGGGCAAAAGAGCACAATGCTGCGTGATTGTTATAGCTATCTTACATCTCAGGGTTTAACTGAGTCGATCACTGATGACGTCAGCTATATGTAGCCGTCTCATTCTGTACTAGTTTTACTCTCAACTGTTAATCATCATATTATGGATTATTTCAATTGGAAGGCGACTGAGGGTATCACATTGTTATGCAAATTTCCCATCTTCTCTATTATTGATTTGTAAGACTTAGATGACATTGAGGTAATTCTGTTGTGATGTCAGTTTATGCATAGTCTTACCTAATTGAATGTTTGAACAGCATGTGGGATACCTTAAGCCTAATTCTGCAGCTTATGTGATTGGAAGGTGGTCACAGGCAATCGGAAACATGCTCACTTTTAACAAGTTAACCTTTGCAAGGGTTATCGATTAACCAGTATGCTGTTTGCCTACTACTCTCCCTTATTAACTAAGCCAACTAACCTTGTTCTAACAACAATTAGCCACTGAACGGTAACTGATTTCCTCGTCTTGTCCTAAGCGTCAATTGAAGTGCATTAATCGGTCTTGCATTGTACTCACTAAGGTAAATGCTCTGACATTGCAGTACACCATGACTTGATAGCAAACGTTTGATTTGTCTTTGGTAAAAAACCGTGAACACATTTCTGACACTTGTCAGGAATGAGCTTGCAGAACATTTTTGATCCTCCTTTGAAATTCAAACTTGTGCTACTGAGTTCTGATGTCAGAGATTACATGTGTTCTAGCCCTAAATGAACCCCTATATGACAGCATAATGTGAATGAATTTCTAACAAATACTGTAACGCCAGAAGGCTAGAGACTTGGTAACGGAACGTCTATTTGGAATTTGATATCTACCTGTGTATAGGGAAATTAGGTACACATCTGGAAGTCGCATCATTTGCACAGATCTTCTGTGTTGTGCTACTTCTGCCATTCGTATTGTGTTTCTTTGCCTTCTTTTCGTATCTCTCATGTTTTGCCGCAATACCCGTTCATTTGTTCTGTGCGGTGTCAAATTTACCTGTCCTGTACTTGATATTTTTGTGCCAATGAACGTGAACTACTGATAAATCATGTCAGTAGCAAATGCTATAATATAGTTTTTTTTCATTCTTAATGTGATGCTTTACACATATTTCATATACTGTAGAGTTGTTCTTTGGAAAAAAGAAGACAATTGTTATCCTTTTTATTTTTTGTAAGAGCTTATGCCTACTAAGAGATTTCAGAAATAATAATAACACTCGTATTATTATCATTTCTGAATGTACATTATCATGTATTGATTTTTATTCAAATATCTGGTCAATTCCACACATGTATATAAATGAAGGAAAAAATGTTGTATGAGTGACTTGGCATGATTATGAGCGGCAATAATTTGTGCTCGAAACGTCATCAGTTAATCTTACTGTGTAATACTGTGTGATTTATCAAAATAAAATCTTATCCATAATGGAGTTGCACTCTACCACAGTGCCCAAGTTTTATACTTATATCAGTTTACAGTTTACAATTTATTTAGGATAGTAGGCTATATGCCTGTGTTAATCCTTTCGATTTGTTACAAACAGGAGGTCCAATCTCGCCTTGAATGAATCAACGGATGGCACTGATACGACGTGTTCCGGTAGGGAGTTCCAATGGTTCACAATCCGATGCGAAAAACGGATCTCCGAACGGAGACGATTCGACCGTGGTTTTTGAACCTTGAGGTGATGTCCTCGCAATTGGTTGGTGCTAGAAGGAAGAAATAAATTAGATAAATTTGCTCCAAAATCATTTCTTAGGATACGGTATGCTAGTATTAGGTTGCCCCTAAGTCGTCTGTATGACAGTGGAAATAAACCCAGTCGACTTAACCTCTCTTCATATGAGAGGGTTGAGAAACCTTTTATTAGCTTAGTTCCTACTCTTTGCACCCTTTCTAATAAGTCTATTTCGTATTTGAAACACGGGCTCGTTGCCTGGATCCCATATTCTAAATGAGGTCTGATATAAGTCGGATATAATATACGAAATATTTCAGCGTCAAAATTCGCAAAAGCCTTGCGTATGGCCCATAACATTCGAAAACCCTTAGTGGCTGCAGCTCTACAGTTTGTTGCTGTTTTCAAGTCATGCTGCACAACCACTCCCAAGTCCTTGTACTCAGTGACTACTGGGAGAGTAATGCCATTCATTGAGTAATTGTGCACGTGACTATGAGATACATGCATAACTACACTCTTGCTTAAGTTAATCTCCAAGGCCCAGTGCTTACACCAATCACTTAACAAGTTTAAATCTTCCTGCAAAGCAA